GGTTTGCTCTTGGCTACTAACCATAAAGTTAGTAGTTCAAATCCACCCAGTGGTGCCACAGAGGAAAGGCCTGTTGATCTGTAAAATCACAGCTACTAAAAACTCTATGGAGCACAGTTCTACTCTGAAACACATAGGGTCGCCATGAGTCAGAATGAACTCTATTTTTTTTCAGTGGTTGATAAGTTACATTTTTAGTCATTTATCCAGGTTCTGACTGAGATCTGTTTGTGACCATCAACTTTTGCATCCTCAGTAGATTTTTGTGGGTAGTCTTATTTACCTAAGAGTGTGTGGGCATAGCTTGAAAGATCAAGGGGCCTTCAAACTCTAGATACACCATTCCCAGAAGGGCTTAAAACCTTCAGGCAGAAGGAACAGAAATTGGAGGTGATTGCCAGTCTTAAGTTTTCCTTATATACCCTCCTAGTCCTGAAACAAGGTGTATGCGTGGGTGGTAAATGAGGAAGAAAACTTGAGGGGAGAAGGAAATAGTACAGTAGTCCTGAAAGGGACTCAAGACTCATTTATATATCTATCTGCATTCATTTGTCAAACATTTAATGAGCATCTACTTTATACTGTAATCTACAGAGGCACAGAATTATGAAACAGTATGTATTATACTAGTTGGCTTTTGCTATGTAACAAACCATCCCATAACTTAAACAGTAACCATTATTTAGCTCATAGTTCTGTGGGTTGACTGGGGGTTCTTCTGTCAGGGCCAGCTTGGCAAGTCTCTTCTTGGCTCAGTCATGCATCTGTGGATGACTAATTTGATTTTCCCCTTCTCCACCTTCAAAGAATGTAACACGGAGTTGTCTGTAGGAATTGATATCTCTACCTCCAGAAGGCAGGTTCAGCAGAAGCTTCAAAAGTTACTGCCAGAACTGAAGCAACAGTTGGCCTTGCTTTCCAACATCAGCTGTGGTGTTCCTGGTCAGATCAACGTGACGTTTCACTACGTGATTCCTGGCCCAAGTGGGCAGACTACCTTTGACTCATACTTTGAGAATTCCAATGACGGGATCACCCAGATGTTCTTGAATGCCAAGAACAATCTTATGGATGTGAATTTTTTGCAGTCCCTGGGAAATGTTGCTCTCCTGGCTTCTGCTAAAGTGAAGGTAATACATGATGAGAATCCATGCTAAGGAGCCATCATGCAGGGTAGGAAGGATAAAGCTTTTGTGGCTGAGGTCAACTAAACTGTTCTTTACTGGAGAACCTACTAGACGAAAACTATATAGTCTTACCCAGTAAGAACCAACAAGAGGTAAGTTTTCATTCAATCAACAACTGTTCATTAAGCCCTAGAGTCTCTGTGCTGATTAATTCCAATATGGAGAAAAGGATGAAATCTTTGCCCTCAAGTTGCCCATAATTTAGAGATCCAGATTCTCCCATGGCATAAATTCATTCCAAAGACAACTTGGGAGATATTTGAAGTCTTCTTAGCTCTTTATGGCCACTCATTACCACTAGAGTAACCAAAAATACCAAACCCATTGCCATCAAGTTGATTCTGACTCACAGCAACCTATAAGACAGAGTGGAACTGCCTCATAGGGTTTCCAAGGAATGCCTGGTGGATTCGGACTGCTGACCTTTTGGTTAGCAGTTGAGCCCTTATAGCACCACCAGGGCTCTGCCTTCTAAATAAGGTCTCGTTATTTTTCCAGTCAACACCTTGAACTGTCTTTACTGACAGTTAATAGCTTGTCAGTCCACTCCACCTCTCAAGCCCCCTCTTCCTTCCCTGTTATCCCTTATCTTTATACCCCAAAAATTCCACAGAGATGAAAAAGTCTCATGTGGCATTTGTTAGGAAATGATACCCCCAAACTTTGGAAGTTACATTTAGCTTTTCTTTCAATCATTCATCCAGTGAATTTTATTTCTTGACTAATATAATTCACTTTTAAATTCAAGTTTTCTGTGAGTAAAAGTAACATGTTTGAATTGTAGACAAAACATAATATATCAGAAATGAACAATAACCTCCCCCCACATCTCTCTCTCTCCACACACGTGTACATGCACACACATACACACATACACACACTCGAAAACCCCTGTCAACATTTTGATGCTTTTGCTTTGATAAAGATGGGTATTGTAAGACGATTTTTGGAAAGTGAACAGGTTAAGCTGGTTTAAATCCTTTTTTTTTTGGTGGGGAGAGTTGAATGGTTAATAAAACAACAAATATATGAATAGATAAAAAGGAAAGGGTGAAAGGCTGAGCACAACCAGAAAAGCTCACCCTTGCATTTTAAAGAGACATGCAACTTACAGCAGCCTTTTGTGTTCCGTCTCCCTCCCAACCCTCCCTCCCTCCTTCCCTCCCCTTCCTTTCTTCCCTTCCTCCCTGCCCCATCTCTCTTTCATAAACAACAGGTCCTTTTAGTGTTTACAGATGGACTGGATGATGATTTAGAAAGACTGAAGGAAAAATCCAAGCTGCTCCGCACTGCAGGTAAGTGTACTGGGTTGCCCCGTGCGGGGGGCTTGCCCCCCACAGGGGCTGAAACACACTTCCAGATTTCCAGCTGGCACTGAGCTCTATTAAGTGCCCTGTACGCTCACCCAGGAGCCCTGGTGGCGCAGTGGTTAAGAAGGCAGTTCAAATCCACTAGCCGCTCCTTGGAAACTCTATGGGGCAGTTCTACTCTGTCCTATAGGGTCGCTATGAGTTGGCATTGACTCATGGCAACAGGTTTGATTTTTTTTTAAATGCTGCCCCAGGTGGTTGGAGCTCTGTGCCCAGGAAGCTGATGCCCAGTCTCCCTCTTTGTATGAGTCAAGGGCTGTTCAGGGCTGAGACACTCCTCCCCTACCCCTGACACTGACTGTGAGGTGGTGTCTCTCTGACTGCGACAGGATTGTCCGGTTACAGTCAGGCATCTGTACTGTCAAAGCACCTTCATGAGGAGTAGTGCTGCTTGCTTTTTTAGGCTGCCTAGGAGTCCCTGGGGAGTGGAAATGGTTAACAGGCTTGGCTGCTGACTGAAAGGTTGGAGGTTCAGGTTTACCTAGAGGCACCTTGGAAAAAGGGACTGGAAATCTACTTCTGAAAAATCAGCTATTGAAAACCCTGTGGAGCACAGTTCTACTGTGACGCACATGGGATTGCCATGAGTATGAGTCGACTTGACGGCAACTGGCTTAGGGGGTCCATATGCCTCTTCTTCCTAAACTCTAGAGTCAGCCTGAAGTTCGACCTCTTTCCACCGCCCTTCTTCTCCCCTTTGCCCCTTATATCTTCCTCCTCCCTCTCCAAGGGCCCACTGCTGTCTATACAGCATCTTTGTGAAAATTAGAAAAAGATGCCCAGTCTTCTGTGTGGATACAGCCCAGTGCCTGGGCACATGGCTTGGTGAGTGGCATGCTGGCCTGATTTCAGCTCACACTAGCACCCTCAGTTGGGTGTCCTGGTTCAGTACTACCAGTGTAACTGTATGTGGTGACTCTGGCCATTCCCATTTTGTGACATATAAAGGCTCTAAAGCAAATGCAGGACAAACAAGAAACAACTTGACTTGTTCCACCACCTTTTACCCTTCTCCTTTCTTTGTGGAATATATTCAACATATTCTGCTGTGGATGATATTTTTCCATTTGGTTAATGATGGGCTGGAATATATTTTTTATAACAACTTGCTCCCAACTGGCTTTACTGCATAGCTTGCCGCTAGAAGTTTAAATTGTAACTTTTCTAGAAGAGGATTGGGAATATGTGACAGAAGACTCAACTTTGCCTATGTGCTAGCTCAGCAATTCAATTTCTAGGAGTTTATTTATAAGAAATAATTAAGGATATGTACACAACTTTTAACCAAAAGAGTGTCAAGTGGCTTCTTTACAATAGCAAAAAGCTGATTTGTGTGTGTGTGTGTGTGTTGAGAATTTACTGTTCAAAATTTTAACAGCAACAGTAACATTTGTTCTGAAATTCTACAGAGATTTCAAGCCAAATTTCAAAAGTGTCCTTGTCCATTTGTTCTCTATTATGGGGACAAACTGGATAATCCTTTAGTGCCTCCATCAGTAAGATAGGCTAGGTTATGCTGCAATAACAAACGACTTCCAAACCTCAGTGGCTTAAAGTAGTAAAAATATATTAATCTTTTATGCCTCGTGCCCATTACTCAGTGACCCAGGCTAAAGGAAGTTCCATTCTGATAGGTGCTTTTGCAATTGCTGTGGCCAGGGAAAGGAAACAGGGCAAACTGGGCACTGGCTCTTGAAGTTTCTTCCAGGGAGTGACACGTATCACTTCTGCTCACGTTTCACTGGCCAGAGCAAGTCATATGGCCACTTCTAACTTTTCTCAGATAGATATTCATTTACAGGTAAGGAATTGAGGCTTAGCAAAAGAGTATGTAGTTTTCCCAAACAAGTGCAATCCTATAATGTGCCTTTAAGGCAAAGACTAGAATACTGATGAACAACCCCAATGACTGTCATGGTTTCTAAGAATAAATCATAATAGTCTACTTCAGGAGTAGGTTTAGAAGGAAGTAGCTTAATACAGGAGGCTCTGGGTAGTGCAAATGGCTCAGCGCTTGGCTACTAACCAAAAGGTTGGAGATTTGATTCCACCTAGAGTCACCTTGAAAGAAAGGTCTGGCAATCTACTTCTGAAAAATAAGCCATTGAAAACCCTATGGAGGAGAGAGGAAGCCAAGATGGCAGCTTAGTCAGACACACCACGCTGTCCCTCTACAGCAAAGATTCAAACAGATACAGATGACAGTCTTGAACCTGAACATCAAATAAAAGGATAAAGAATTAGATCAAACACCAGTTGGAAGAAGAAACTGAACAAAAACAGTGAATGAAGAGAGATACTGGAGCAGAAGTGTTCTACCAGCCAGTCTGGCACAGTGTGGCCTTCTTGAGATAAAGCCAGTAGTGATTGTGGGTGAGGAGCACAGGAAGGCAACTTCATGGAACTCCCAATGGGAGACAAAGAAACTGTGTAGACATACCTGGAGTGAAGCAAGGTGAGCAGGACATGAACTGGAGCTAAGGAGGGAAAGTACAGGAAGGAGGGTGAGAGGTTCAGGGATCCCAGCATCCACAGAGCAGGAAGGAAGCCAGGATCCAGAGACAGGGTAACTCATCAGCAGCAGTCCCTGACCGTTAGAGTGGGTGGCATGCATGGAGTAATAGATCCATAGAGCATCAGTAGGAGGTTCCCCAACTCAACTGGACTCCAGGCAGCCCCCACTTCCTCACATTTGGTTGAGGCCAGGTTCTGATTACTGGCTGCATCCAACAGGAAGTACCCAGGTACCCTTGCCCAGTGACCAGAGGCACATGTTTCCCCTCTCCCCACCCTCTTGGTGATTAGTGACACGAAGCCCTCCCATCCCTGCCACCCCAACCACCAGGGACCATAGTATGAGCCCTCCCTTTCCTCCCCTCCAGCCCTATCTGCCACCCTCTGTCCACCTGATGATCAGTGGAGAGAGTGCTCTCCAGTCACCCGCCTTGCCTCTTGCCCACTGACCCACTGAGCAGGCAAAGAGAGTGCCTCCATGCCCTCCAGACACCCACTGCCCTGATGAGAGGACGGAGAGAGAGAGCCATCGTGCCCCCCACCTGCCGACCCACTGACCTGCCGAGTAGGTGGAGAGAGTCACTCCATGCTCCCCAGCTGCCCACTGCACCCCTTGTCTGCTAACCTGCCATATGGGCAAAGAGGGTACCTCTGCACTCCTTGGCCACCTGTCCCACCCCTCGCCTGCTGCCCATCCGCCTGATGAATGACTGTGAGCATTCACACACTGCTGAACTGATGACAGATGGTGCCAGGCCTCAGCCATCTCACAGTCACAGTGAACAGGAATGCTGGCTCGCTCTGCCTGCTGCTGCCCCGCCCACCCAGAGACAGGTAGTGAGTGTTCCCGTGCCACCAGACAAGTGAGCAACATGAAGCACGCTTGACCTGCTCACCTGCACTGATATATCAAAGCAAAAATTCATTAAAAAAAACACTGTGATGCCTTGGAGACAGCAGATAATATCACATCATAAAAAGAAACAGGACAGGTTGGTTTAAGCAAGTGGTCAAAACAAAGGGGCAGAAAACCTTCCTGCAGAAGAAATGGCAATGGATCTACCTGATAAGGAATTTAAAAGGCTTATGTATAGGATCCTCAAAGAGATCAAGGAAAACAGACAAAACCCTAGAAGAATTCAGGAAAACAATACAAGAACAAAATAATAAAATAAACAGATAATTAGAAACCGTACAAAAACAGCAACTAGAAATCCAGAAGAGTAACAATAAAATTTCAGAAGTAGATAACTCAATGGAAGTAGGATTGAATCAACAGAAGAAAGAATTAGCAAAATAGAGGACAACTCTTATGATACTAATTTGTTTGAGGGACAATCAGAAAAAAGAGTGAAGAAAAATGAGGAAAGCCTAAGAGTTACGAGTTACGTAAGACACTATGAAGAGGAATAATTTCCATGTGATTGAAATTCCAGAACAGGAGGAGACAAAAAAAAGCACAGACAGAATTTTTTAAGATTTCCTGGCAGAAAACTTCCCTGATATCATGAAAGATGAGAAAGTTTCCATCCAAGAAGCTTAATGAACTCTATACAGGGTAGACCCCAAAAGAAAGTCACCAAGACATATCATAATCAAACTTTCCAAAATGAAAAACAAAGAACAAATTCTGAGAGCAGCTTGGGAAGAATAAAATATCACCCACAAAGGGGTACCATTAAGACTAAGCTCTGATTTGCTGGCAGAAACCATGCAGGCAAGAAGGCAATGGGATGACATATATAAAACCTGAAAGAAAAGAAATGCCAATCAAGAATCATATAACGTGCAAAACTGTCTCTGAAGTACAATGGCAAAACTAGGACATTCCCAGATAAACAGAAATTAAAGGAATTTGTAAAACCACCAGACCAACCTTATAAGAGATATTAAAGGGACCCCTTCTGACAGAGAACCAATGACATGAGGCAATAGCATGAGATTAAGAGACATGACGGCATCACCTAGATACCAGTCCTGACAAAGAATTCTCAAAAGTAAAATAAAGCTACAAAACTGAAAACAGGGATCCAGAGATGTCAATCTGTAAATGATGACAACTTCAAAACAAAAAGGGGGAATAAATTGTGTAGTTATAGAACTTCCATATGGAGAGGAAATCAACGTGATATCAAGAAATCACTGACTGTTTTAAACTTAGAAAGATAAAGGTAAATTTCAGAGTAACTAGAAAGAAAACTAATAAACCTACTCACCAAAATAAAGAAGAAAACTATAAAGACAAGTAAACACGAAATCAACAACAATGAATGAAATGAAATGAAAATACACACACACACACAAAAACTCAGCACAGAAAATTAAGCAGAACAAAGAAAATGTCAACACCACACACGCACACACAAAGCATGACAAAATGACAGCAGTAAATTCATACGTATGGCTAGTCA